TTCTAAAAGTATTTTTTTTAACAGGCCTTGAAGAACGACTCAAGCATCATTTTATATATTTTTTTCTATCTTAGAGTAACAACCGTTACAATAAAAATTAATAATTAACCAATTAAAAAATACAAAATTCGTTAATAAATTGTTAATATCGTTTTTAGGCTTTTTTGCTTCCTCACTACCGAAGGTAGGGAAGCATTGTATTCGTGCGAGAGGTTAAAACAAAATTTGTGCTCAGAATCGAAAATTTTCACTCGCGTTTTACGTTTCAGACATTAAGGATTATATTTAGTTTGGTGTCTGTCTGTAGTCAAATCGATGTAACGGTCATATCAACTACTACCGCTTATCCGATTTTCATGAAATTTTCAGGAATCCTGCGGGTTGGTGTCAAGATGGTCCCATATCAATTTTATTAAATTCTAACCACCACTTCCGCTTATGCTCGCGCAAACGCATTTTTGTAGATATGTCAATATTTCAGAAACTACTCGACTCATTTGGCTCAAAGTTGGATAAAAGGTAGGTATTTGTGAAAAAATAATGTAGGGTCAATTTTATTGAATTTTGTCCATTGCTTTCTCTTATATATGCGCAAACGTGTTTTCCTTGATGCGTCTATGTATCTACAACCGCAAGTTCGATTTGACTAAAATTTGGAGGGAATTTAAGGATTGGTAAACGTAAAATGAAATAGACATCAATTCTATCAAATTATATCTACTACTCCAAAAAAAAAAAAAAAATACTTCCGCTTTGAGATCAGAAAATCTGTTATTTGATACGTCTATAGTTTGAAAACAGCGCAATCGATTTGACGCAAACTTGGAGGAAATTTGGAGAACAGAATAGAAATTACTTAGTATCAATTTCATTGAATTCCATTTAATAATTAAAATTAACATAAATAATTGTTATCAATATAATGGCTGTGAAATGTTGAAGGCACTGATCATATGGAGTGGGAGTTAGGTTATTATAATATTGTAATGGGGTTATATAATTTTTTGTTTTATTAAAAAAATTAATTGATACTGTTGTTTGGTCGATTCCAAACGTTACTGGCATGACACTTACTGCCGTTACTTAGATTTCGTGTAATTTTCAGTAAATTTAAAGTAATTTTTACTCTGAATTTGTAAACAAAAAAAAAGTCTTATTTTTTATTGTGTTTATTTCCATTGAAGTTCAACCAGTTCGTCTTGGTCTCGATTTCCACCTTAAATATCGGTTGTGGGAACTTCACCCATATTTTTATATTCAAGCTTAATTAGTTTTTTTCTAACTGAAGAGAAGAATTGGTGCCGTTAACTCCGAATAAACAACAAGTTGAATTTTCTCTATGGATTTTCTAGTTCCACCCATTTTATGAACTGAAAACGTACCTATTAAGTATATATCACTACTACTAATGCAAATAAATAGAATCGGAGGCGAAGTAGCCATTTTTGTCCACGATAGGCTGAAATCCAAAATCCTTGCTTTGTCTCCTCTTTCCGTCTCCCCACATATCGAATATCTTTTTACTGAAATATCCACCTCCTCATATTTATGAAGAGGCTCATTGGTGTCATCTACCGACCTCCTAGGGGCGGTGCCCTTTGATGAAACGCTCGAGATCATCCTCTACGAACTGAGCCTTTCCTACTCTAATATTGTTCTTACCGGAGATTTCAATCGCAACCTATTATTTCCTTCCTCTGATCAAGCCTATTTATCAAACCTCCACTACTCTCTTAATATGTATATATTTTCGTACAACCCTACCCATCACACCCAATACTCAGACTCTTGGATCGATCTTTGCATTATTGACTCTCCTGATAAACTCCTCGCCTCATCACAGCACCTGTTCCTTTTTTGTCTGCTCATGATCTCATACAGGTCTTCTTTAACCTTCCTGTTCCTCTATTCTGTCCCCGATTTATATCTTTCAGAAACTTTAATTTCCTATCATCCGCAACTTTGATGCCCGATCTTGACGCAATCCAATGGGACTCCATATACTCCTCTAACATCGCTGATTTTACGGTAGAAACTTTAACCAATCAACTCCACATTATCCTAGACCGTCATGCTCCTCTTAAAGTCGGGAAAATCAAGTACCCCTCAGTCCCTTGGTTGACGACTGTTATAATCAAACGAAGTGAAAATCAAATAATTGTATCAAACAGAGACGTAGCAAGACGAAGATTTAAGCGCACTCGACTTCCCGAAGACTACACAAATTTCAAGCTGCTTCGAAACAGTATGCAATCCGCGATACGCAGCGCCAAATCCCACTACTACAAACATTCCTTATCCAGCACTCCAAACTCCAAAGCTATGTGGGCAATCTTTCTTAAATTATCCTCAGGCCAACCCACCCAATGCCAGACTACCTGTATATCTCCTGTTCATCCTATCCCTCTGTCCAAGCACCAGCTCTACCCCTCATGGATTCCCCCTTTAATCCTAACCAGTTTTTCTTTTAGCATATTACTCCTGACGACCTCCTTAAATCCGTTTGTAAATCCCAAACCAAAGATTTCGGACCAGATAATATCCCAGTTTAATTAATTAAATCCTCACTTCCATCCATTTTCCCAATCCTTTATCATACCTATAATTTTTCACTTCAAAGTTCCAGTTTTTGCAACACTTTGAAAATTGCCCTTGTTCTTCCACTGGACAAAATCTCTAACTCCACAGCCCAATGATAATGATAATGATTTCCGTCCAATTTCCCTGTTATCTAACATTTCCAAATCTTTAGAACGAATAGACAACAACAATCCCAATTATCCCAATATTTCGAGCAAAATAACCATTATAACTGCTTCCATTTAGACCTGACGACCCCACCCATTCCACCCTCATTAAAATCTCCCAAGATCTCCACACAGCCATAGACCAACAGAAACTGACCATTGTGATCCTTCTCTAAAGCATTCGACTCAGTTGACCATAATATCCTCCTAACCAAACTTAAAAATATTTCTTTATCATCTAGTGCCCTTAAATGGTTCCAATCCTTTCTCACTGATCGCTCCCAGTACGTTGTAGTTCCTCATAACCCTCTCAATCATAAAATCAATGTCTCTACCTCAGTTAGAGGCGTTCCACAAGGTTCCTCTTTATCCTCCACCCTTTTTTCCATATACATCAATGATTTCCCTTCCGCTATCATGCACTCTCAATATCACCTATATACCGATGACGTCCAAATTTATCTTTCCTTTAACCTGGCGGATTTCTTTAATGCCATCCTGCAACAATACATCAATAGAATATGTGCATGGGTGAATCTTAATAACCTCACATTAAATACAGAGAATACAAAAGTCATCCTGATCGGATCCCCCTCACTCCTCAAATCCCTTTCAGCACCTCCTAATCTTCTTCTGAACAACTCACCTATCTCCCTCTTTCCATACCACCGTTAAAAACCTTGGCGTTACCCTCGATCAAACCCTCTCCTGGAAAACGCACATCTCCCAAATTTCCCGCCGTACTATATCCACCCTGAAACGTTATCTTCTTTCGTTCAAAACCCGTCAACTTCTGATCTCCTCTCTGGTTTTCTCCCACTTTGACTATGGCTGTATAGTATATGGTGGACTCTCGGGAGAACTCGAAGCTAAACTTAAACGCCTAATATATTGCTCAATTCGCTTTATCTTCTGGATCTTAAGGAATACGCATATTATCCAGTTTTACACCGAGTTGAAGTGGCTTTATCCGTCCTACCGCCATAAATATTTCCTTGCTACATTCCTATACCAACCCATTAGAACTCGGCGACCCACCTATATTCTACAGATCCTACAAATCAAACGCTCCTTTCAATCCCGTCCCACCAGATTCCGTGCGTCCGACCTCTATCCCTCCCTCACCGAATTGCTGCGTTTGATAAATCCTTTTTAATTCAAGTTTTCTCTCTCTTGAACGCTATACTCTCAGATATTCGATACGCAAAATCAATGTCCTCTTTCAAATCTCTCCTCTTCAAACACCTATCCATTCCCAATCCGATTGATCACGAAATGCACTTAAAAATCTAAGCTGTTAGAATCTCAAAGTAAACCCAGATACTGTGATTATTTTGTGATTCAATGATATATTGTTTACTTAATTTACTTTCTCTGTTTATTTTATATTTATACGTGTTTTTATATATTTTTATTATCTATAATTTCATTGTATTCCTAATTATCCTGTAAATATTTAATTGTATTTTGTAGAAACACCAGAATATAATACATATTCTGTATTTGTAACTTGTTCGAAAGGGACACTAGTCCCAGAATAATAAAATTATTTTCATTCAGTCAAAAAAAAAAAAAAAAAAATGTAAACTTTTTCAATTTTTATTCTATTTGTGCTAAAGGTGACATTTTGTAGCCTGAAACTGATATAAATACTCCGCTGCTATGGAAAATAACAGAGGACAATAAAATATGAAATTATAGCAATAGAACATAAAGAAATAATGAGTTTTTACATACGACTTTTTGCACTATTAGTAATGAAATGGTTGTTCATTATGCATTGGTATTTTTTTTTTTTTTTTTTTAGACTAAGAATAATCAATATGTTAATATGGCTGATAAACGAAATTCGTGGATATCAAACCCGCGAATGTTGAAGGGTAACTGTATTTACGAATCGGCTTCTCCCTGAGATTTTATTCTCATATGAAAAATTGTATAGCTTGTAATATAGATATATTTTAGCCAATAAAAACGGTGAGGAAGCAATACTGACCTTACTTGGCAGACTTTTTTTTTTAAATTATGCATATTGAATACCAAAATAAAAATTTGCTCTATATTTACTGATTATTTCAAATTAATTGATGTTTAGATTATATTAATAATGCCTATTAAAATTTACATCGAATAAGAAACAATGTAACTAATAACACTCTGGCACCTTCGGAAAAGTCTTATGAAGTTGGTTCCAGGATAATAAACACGAGCGACGCTGGTACAATTATATACTCTTTGTAAGTTAGTGCGCTAGTTTGTATTTCTGAATTAAGGTTTACTGATACGGAGGAAGGTTGAGTGTTTATGAGTTTCGACGTGTTGATTTATATTTAAAAAGTTATTTTAGAACACTAGAACTCCCAGATTTGTGCTAGTTTTGGAATAGTGAGATATTATGGCTGATGAAGTAAACGACGTTTCTCAAAGCGTCTTGAATACATCTCAGACTGGTAGTAAACAATGGGTAACTTTAAATGTTGGTGGAACTTGCTTTTTAACAACTAAAACTACTTTATCACGGGATCAAAATTCGTTCTTGTATAGACTCTGCAAGGAAGATTCGGATTTAATTTCTGACAAGGTAAACAACTCACAGATATTTATGTATGATACTTTTTGATCTAATTGCCTATTTTGTTTCTTTTTTTTTTGTATTCTCTTTCTAAGATAAAAAAAAAAAAAAATACTATCCTCCCCAATTATTGTTATTAATACAAATTTTTATAATAATTTATGAATGATGACTAATTATGTTTAGAAAGATAATTCTAAATTGTGCAACTTCTTTACTGCAATATGACAGAACTTAGTTGTGTTTAAAATATCTATAAATAGGTATGATTCTTAAGTTACACTATTATTTCCATTATAAATAGTGGAGGCTTGATAATATTTTTTTTGAAAACAGTATATGACTCAAACTTGATAAAGATAACAAATCAAATCCTGAAATTTTCTTCCTTCCAAATTGTGTTTTATTTTTAAAATATTGGTGACTTAATTACAATTATTTACTTTTGTTATTATTATAACATATTATTTTACTTAGAAGTCTGTTGTGGTTATGAAGTTGCCTTATAAATGTTTTTCATTTAACAAATACACTCTTGCTTTAAGTTTATATTAATTTATTTAATTAAAGTTTTTAAGTATAAGTACCAGTTAATTTTAAATGGGTAATGCAATAACTTTTACTCTCAAGATTGTGATAATATTGTCTATATGTTATCAATTCAAAATTTTAAAACTTTATTTTCATTTATGGAATTTCAAATTACCAGAGAAAAGCAGACCCTTTAACTTTAACAATATATTTTTAAAAAATACTTTATTTTATTATATTTTATTTTGTATTTTTGAGCTCCTGTAAATTATCTTTATTTTAGGTAATTCTTTTTATTGTATCATGTCAGAATACTCTATGATTTGGTACAAATCTTTATTTGTTCTGTATGTATTACAATATTTAATTATTTAATTACTAAGTTTTTGTGTTTATGATATATCAACAATATATCATTTATCTTTGATTTACTTTACAAAATAAAATTTTTACCCATTTGAAAAAGTTTAATAATATTTTTATATTATGCTTCGATTATTTTTCTGTTCCTGTGATTGAACTGATATATAAAAATCAACACTTAGATGGATGATAGGAAATTCATTTTAACCAGTTCTGATAAAATGTAATATAAAGAGAATTACAAGATAACTATTATTTTTTTATTATGTTATAGACCACCTATTATTGATTCTTATAATTTTGGAAATACTATTCCTTAGAGTATAAGAATTATCTATTAAGTAAACTTATATTATGTCATGATTGCAATATTTTAAAATAAAAATTGTTAGTTGCCTTATTTTACGAACAAATTAATGCTTAAAACGTACAGTGCTTAATTCTCATAACTTTTGTTTATCATTTTGACACTTCTTGTTACTTTTTTCCTTATTACAAGTATTGCTCTACATCTTTCCTTGCAGGACTGCAGCTCTATGTTTTCCAATCTTTCTTACTATTTCTCTTCCTGGGAGCTAGTATTTCCTAAAGAACATTGGTTTATCCCTATGGTAGAATCATTTTCTACCATCTCATTTTGTCCAAAAATCTACAATTAGTAATAAGTTCTAAAAATATTAGATATAACTATATGTATATAATATTGAGAGATATGAAGCCCTGAAGTCCACTGACAGCAGTCCTTGACTGATTGTCGAAGAAAGGGGCCTAGAGCCAGTAAGGGTGTTCTAGTACTGTACATTACAGGGGTGCTCAGAGAGGGGTTGTAGTGCGAAAGTTGCTCTATCAGAATTTGGGGGGGAAGAAGGGGCACATAAAGTTTTCAATTTTAAGAAAACTGTTAAACCAGGATATAAAAAAAAATAAGGTATTCTGAGGTTTACGTGTATTCAAAAAAATATCTAAAGACGCTGCATCCTTGAAAGAGTGGCAGATATGACTAAATCCTAAGTACTCAACACAAGGGGAGGATTGTCTTCCATTTTCCATTCGTTTCTGCATTGACTCAAAGGTCGCCGCTTGGTTGAAATTTTGGTATGTGGTAGCTTTATTGTATGTATATAATAAATACAACTACTGCCTTGTCTTTGGCTATGGAACATGGAAGAAATTTAAAATAAAGTAGCAAAAAATCTTGAAATGAAAACAAAAAACTTACGAAAAATTGTCATCTGTGACAGGTCGGTTGACAAGATTTCAACATTCTGAAAGAAACTAATTAGGAAATAAAAACTAATTTGTCCATCCTCAAATTAATTTGCCCCCATATTTTAAAAAAAATTACCACCTTTTGACAACGCATTGGCAATCATTTCAGACGAAATTCTTATTTAAAATGGACAAAATATTTTAAAACAAAACAATGATGAATTCCCGGCATGGGCGTACGCAGAAGAGGGCAAATAAAACATATTATAATACAAAAGGTTTGCCAAAAATTCAATTAAAATTAATTTTTAAAAATTGTTGTTCTATTTATATATTGTATTTTATATAAAAATATTTATAAATTGTAATAATAATAAACTTTTCTAAAAAAAAAAAATTCTGTATTGGCCCCTTAATGTTTCAATTGGTTATGCCTTAATTTAATACTAAAAAAGTATTAAAATGTTGTCTGGGATTACATTTAACAGTACATTTCTAATTTATATTTGGAGTGGTTTATTCTTTCGCGCTTTTCGCTTTAAGTTATTGTGTAAATTATTTTCTTCATATTATATTTGATTTATATCTTCATATTGTTTTGATTTAATGGTTTATATTGATATCATTATATGATGTTATCATTTTAATTTTTCTTTTAACATACCTCCAATAATTAGGCATTTTGGTAATTCGACATTGCGAATCTCGCTCAACAAAGCTTAACAGCTTTAGAAAATGTCCAAGTGAAAATAGAGTTTTTCTATTTTCACTTGTATAGTTTTTAAGGAAAATTCTGAACAATCTCAAATTGTATGGCTGATTAATGTTTAAAACAAATTCAATTACCTATGATGAAACAGATAATGTTTGTTAAAAATCTTATTTCTTAAACACTATAATCCAAATTAAAAATTTCAAATCCAAATTTTTATATTGTTTTGTAAAATAAATCTTTCTAACAACACTAATCTTGGCCAACTCACCTCCTATAGAGTTAAAATTCTACGAACGCAATGTAAATAAATAAATAAGAAATAAGCAAACTTTAAGCTTGTTAAAAATAATTTTATTTTTAACTAAGAAGTATTCGAGGTCTTTCCTGGTGAAAAGATACACTAAAAATGTGTTTTATTTCTGGTTATTTCACCTAATTAATGCAAAGAATTCATAATTTTTTTCTATGCTGTGATGTTTAAAGTATTCAATGATTTCTAAAGTTGTTTTTTATTAATTTTATGAACTTAGTTTTTTCTATATATTATATATATATATATATGTATATATTGGATAATCTATATTTAGACCATTTATTTCTGGATTTAAATTTGTCTTGTCATTACATTTTTACAAAGTTGATATTTATAAAACTGTATCGAAAACAGGCATATAAATCTGGTGAGGGCAACACACAACTTTCACTTACCGCTCAACTTTGAATAGAAATTATTTTTGCCCATATAGGGCTATAATAAAATTTTTGAATTGCATTTTTAACTGAGCTGAAGCTAAAAAATTACTGCTAACAAATCATAAATACCATTAAAATAACCAAAGTCCTATTTATTATATCACCGGTTCATTATGGATTGTAATGAAATTATTAAACTACAGTGTAAATATATTTAAGGTTATAAATATATGCATGAAATGATTTTATATTTTACTTCTTCTTTCACACAAGTACAATGAAATAGTTATTTAAGCAATGTCATTGGCTTTATTAGGTGGATTTTAAATATGTCTTTCAAATGTAAAAATATTTTAAAAGGTTGCATTTAGTTCGTAAATTTCATTTAATTTTCTTGAAAACATGTGATTTACGTTAAATATTATTAGTTTTCAAAAAATATTATTTATAATTTTTTTGCCAATCTCCGTTTCCTTTCACAACTTTCTATATTTGATATTGTTTTTTCTAAAATTCTCCGCTTTCCAACGATATATTATAAGTATATCTTCGGACTAGTATTTCCAGAGATTCATTTTCGACCTGGATAAGCATTTTTATTTTTTTCTCCTTTATTCAATTATCAAATTCTTTCAAAAGTTATATTTAGCATTTTTCATAACTTTTAATAATGAGAGATAATTGATTATTTAAAATAAACCATATTAAAGGTACTTTAGAGGAAGACGCATATGAACATTGGGCATTTAAGCCCTGTAAAGTGACATCAACGGGGATAAGACCTAAATGATATTAAAGACCACTTAATTATACAATGATACACTGAGTTTAATCAAAATTGTTAGAGCAATTTTTGAGAAAATTGAAAAAATGTGTTTCAGCGTTCATATTAAGTGGCACTTCTGGTTAGCCGATTTTAACGAAAAAGTTACTGTCACTTCCGGCTCATATACAAACCTTCAATACTTAATATCAGTTTCGTCCTACTTTTTTTATGAGCTAGAAAGTTAACACACACACAGATCATTTTGGGACACTTGGTAATTTGTACTCAGGGGACCTCAAAACACGTATTTCCATTGAAAACTGAGATTCGAAAATTTTCACGATCGCAATACTTACACTTGCTATATATTTCATATACGCGGAAGTGAAAGTAAAAAAATATTATTTAGGATTTTGTAGGGTGTGAAACTGGCAGTGCATCAACGCCTGTTGGTTTTTTAAATTGGTTGGGGTTTCTTGGTTATTTACCAATCTGAACCTGAAATAGCAATAAGTGAGAGGTATTCCCAGGCCTAAATGGGCCAGCCAGAGTTTAGAAGATGCGTAAGTCTCACATGTCAGATGGTGGTTTGTAGATGTTGGGGACAGGAGTGATCTGAGGATGTGGATAAAAATCATGTAAGCCATCTTAAGTACATTAGTATATTCTACTAATGTTTAGAATTATTAGAATGGAAAAGTTCGAATCCTATAAAAAACATTGTAATGCAAT